TGTAGGATAGTTTTGAGAAAGTCAGGACTTTGGAATGCATGAGCTGTGGAGGAGGTTGGTTGTGTCAGGAGGTATCTGGCAGGAGGGGGGCTGAGTGGAGTGTTTCGGCTGGAGAAGGATATCTCTGGTGAGAACCTTGGGAAAGGGAGGCTGACTTGGTGGGGGAAGAAGAGGTATGGGAATTGGAGGTGGGTGTTAGTTTTGGTGCAAGGGTTGTGGGGTGGAGTCTAGTAATTTTGGGTTTTTTAATATGGCATTTTGCTGTAAGGGGGACAGTTCTGGCTTAAACGCTGACCAGTGAATTACTGGTTGTGTGTTCTCAATAAACCTCTGGTTGATACAATTGGCTGGATTTATTGCTACACAAAATTACTGAATTTAGCCAAGTCTGACACATGTGGTTAAAGTGAAAATTTTGTAAGATTAAGGAGTTTATTGCACAGTTAATTAAATCACCTTACCTGATTGGGTTTAAATTTTAAATTGGGCGGCATCCGGACTCTATCACAAGGGTTTTGCTGCCAAAATCACAGCGTGGGTGATTTCTCTTCACAGCTTGGGTCCATCCCCACTTCCAGGGCTGCTCTGGTGGCCATTTTCTCAAGCTAGAAAACTCCCAGCTTTGAAAAAAGCTGCGCTGAGTGGCTCTGGGAGTGGGGATGGACCCAGGCTGCATTTGGGTGGCAAATTTGGCAGCAAAATCCTTTGGATAATATCAGGATGCCACCCAATTTAAATTTTATGCTTGATCATGCAAGGCAATTTAATTAACTGTGCTATAAGCTTTCATGATGTGATTTTTTTTAAAAAAATTAAAACCATGGCAAATTTTTACATTTAAATTTTAAAAAATTAAATTAAAAAAATACTTTTTAACAACTGGGTCTTTTCCTTCTCCTCCCACTAAGTCTCACCTAACTCACAGCATCTCTTCAGCATTTTAAAGGATGCAGGTGAATGCCACAGCCTGTTTCTGCCCAAAGGCAGAGGTTTGATGAGCAGTAGCGTTACTTCTTGCTTAAGGTGTCACTTGGTGCAGCCCACACCCCCTGCACCCCCCCCCCTTAGAGCCAAGGGCTTGGCTACAACTCTATGTTATTCTTGACAAAAGCCTCTGATTTGTCAACAGGTGCTAGGATTGACACCTCAGCTTAAATGATACAACTATACATACACCCACACACCACATCCTCCTTCACCTCCTTCCTTCCCTCTTTTTATAGGCTGCCTCCTTGAGTTCAGGCCCACCTACATTAACTGAGGAATAGCTAGCATTAAAACCCAGCACCATGCTTCCTAGGCTGAGATCAGGAACACCTGCAGTGTTGATTGATTGCCTGATTAAGGGGGGGGGGATTGATTGGTCTGTTCTCATTAGCATATCGTTAGCAGTGACCCTGTGGCTGGCCCAACTTGAGGAAGTGATGACCTGGATGGATTAAAAAGCGTAGCGCATTGGAGAGAGATGGAAAAATCAGTAAAGAGAGGAAAGGGGGGGGTGCTGGTGTGGGTGGAGATGATTCCTTGGTCAAACAAGGAGAAGAAGCTCAGATCAATACTGTACACATCATTTGCCCCCTGAGGTTTAAAGAAGTGCTGATGAGAAGAGCCTCCCCACACCAAGGGCTTTTTCTCTTCCTTGGGTTCTTGCAGACACTTCCTGCATTTTCCTGCTCTGTCCTCCATATGTAACAGCCCCAAAGCATTGAGCCAGAGGATGGGAAGGACACATACTCAATGGATCCTCACAGCAGGCCTGCATGAGGGTAATCCTATTGTACTACAGCATCATAGAGCTGGAAAGAACCACAAGGACCATCAATGCAGAAACCCACAGTTAATCATTCCTGAGAGGAGCCTCCCAACCTCTTTTTAAAGACCTCCATAGAAGGGGAGTCCATGGCAAATACATTTTGCCCCATTTGGTTCACAGGAAAAAGACAACTGAAACAATAGCACAATAAAATAGGTAATGCCATTCCATCTAACACTGACAGAATCAACAACTGACAGCTCATTTGAGACATGACAGGAACTATGAGGGGAAAGTGTGCTGCCCTCTCCCTTTCTGGACATGCAAAGAGTTTCTGTGGAAAATACGACACACAGAATGAGGAGAGAAATTGGACACTGTGATGCAGGAGTTCTCAGGGGCCCATACTGTGTGTGTGTGGTGTTCCTGGCTCCTTTTCGGTGACTTCTTCCAGGTCCCTTAAAAGAGCTCTTCATGGTGTTGGAGCTACTTAGGAACACTACTCAGAATCTTGGATAACCTGGATTCAAATTTGGCTGCTGCTGCT